CCACAGCTGATCTGTGTCACACACATCCACAAACACACACCCACCACCTCAACAGATCTTATCTCACACACACACCACCCCAACTGATCTTGTCCTACACACACACACACACACACACGCACACCACCCTAGCTGACCTTGTCTGACACATGCACACACACACACTCCATCCCAGCTGATCTTTTAAACACACAAACACACCATCTCAACTGATCTTGTCTCACACACACACCCACACACATACCCACCACCTCAACAGCTCTTGTCTCACACACACACCACCCCAACTGATCTTGTCTTACACGCACATGCACACCACCCTAGCTGATCTTGTCTCTCACACATGCATACACACACTCCATCCCAGCTGATCTTTTAAACACACAAACACACCATCCCAGCTGATCTTGTCTCACACACACACACACGCACACACTCTCACACACACACACACCACCCAGCTGATCTTGTCAAGCCAGACTTTCTCTTCAGATCTTGCCCTCCTCCTCCCAAACTTTCTTCCTGAATCTCTCCATCCCCAGTGTCTCCACCCTAATACAAGTCACCCTCATTTCTTTGCCTGGATTCTAGGCAGGTCCCAGTAGCCTTCTGACTGGCCTTTGCCATCGATTCTTTTCTCTGTTTGATCCTTTCTCCATTTTGCACTCAAACTGACCTTTCAAAACTATGTTGCTTCCTGGCGTGTAAGGGTAATGACCCAAATCATGAATGGGGCCTACAAGGCCATGCACAAAGAGGTTTTCACCCACCCGCTTAGCTTTCTCACTCTTCATTGGCCACCCACACTGGTGGTGCTACCCTGAACACTCTTCCCCTGCCCTCAACCCCTAACTCCAGCTTCTGCCCTCACTCTTCCTTTAGCACTCAGTTCAAATGTGACTTCTTCAAAGAAGAATTCCTAATACCCCAGACTGTTAACTGTTCCCCTAGCATCTTCACTTCTTTACACTGACTATTAACAGTTTTAGTTATGTAATTAGTTGCTGTTTAAAGACTGTGTCCCTAGTCAGAATATAAACTTTGTGAACTCAGAAGCTGCGGCTGTCTTGTTCACTGCTTTGTCCACAGCATTTATCCCAATGCCCAGCACACAATGGGGTTCATTAAATATTTGATGAACGGATAGCCACATTCATGTTATAGAGATACTATGGCTTCTTCCTTGACACGTGGGTTCTGGAACAGAAAGAACCTGGCCTGTTCCGTATCGTATTGTTATTCTTTTAACTTTGGTTTGGTTTGATTATATTTATCCTCTGTGTTTACATTTTGTTTTGAAAAGGCAAGAAAGAACCCTCAAGTGGAATTGCTGCTGGCAGTTGGTGCCACACCAGTGTTCTCAGAATACACCCTGTCCTTTCCGATTTCCTTCATATGATGTAACCACCAACAGTCTCGGAGTAACAAGTCTTAAATTCTGATTCTCAGTCTGCTGAAGTAAGATCCCTCGTGGCCCCAACCACACTTCAGTTTCTCTCTGAAAGCCTGTCTGTTCTTGTCAGAACTTCTCTCTTCTTGCTAAAGCATTTCATTTTCACCTCAACGGTTATATTTTCTAGCTTTTTATTATAGTTGTTTTGATACCCACCTACCCAACCTACTAGACACTGTGCTCTCTGAGGGCAGGTACACCAAACTGATAAAATGTCTGAATCACCTGTGTATTCTCAGTATCTAGCACAATGTTAGGTGTTTATTAAACACAATTAAATTTTTCATTAGTATAGTAGCAGAGTGACTGGGGTAAAGTCCTTTAGTTTTATCATTTCCATTCATCAGTTCCATCATATATTCTCCCTCGCTTCCACCAAGAAGTACAGAGAATAAAGACATCCTATTCTCTCTTCCCTTCCTATGAAAGGTTTCCAAAATTACTGAGAAAGAAGAAAGAACTGGGGAGGCTTATGTAAGTAGAGAACAAAGAGAATAATGCCAATAAATACGTACATTGTTTAAAGCCCTGCAGCTCTTCCTCAGATCAGATGATAAGAAGTTCAGAGTGCCAGGGGCATCTGGCAAAGGGCGTCTGCTGAAACTGATGCCTCAAAAGAAAAAAAAAGAAAGAAGAAAAACAATAGTCCATGTGATGATAAATGGAACATTCCTTATTGTTGATTCTTAGAAAGACAGTACCATACATTGTATGCTTTATAGTGGAAATTATTTTTCCTAATGTGTAAACATCTAAAAATAATATATTCAGCCCAGGTGCTGTGGTTCACAGCTGTAATCCTAGCACTTTGGGAAGCCAGTGCAGGAGGATTGCTTGAGGCCAACTGTTCAATACCAGCCTGGGCAACATAGTGAGACCATGTCTCTACAAAAAAAAATTTAAAAATTAGCCAGGCACAGTGGCCCATACCTGTAGTCTAGCTATTCAGGAGTCTGAGACAAGGAGAATCGCTTGAGCCCAGGAGGTTGAGAATACAGCGAGCTATGACCATGCGACTGCACTCTACCCTGTCTCAAAAATAAATAAATAAAAATAGCATATTTACTGAAAGCAAATATATATACCTGGAAATATAGGTTCTAAACCCATTTCTGCCTCTCTCTAGCAGGGTGACCTTGGTCAAGTCAGATTATCATCTATAGGTAGTTGTGCTGCATATGGGGCCTCTTGTTACAGATTTAAAAATAGAAACCCTTCTAAAGCAAATTCCTTTTATTTAAACCAGCCCTCATGGAACCGAATGTTTTCATGGGAAGGATACAGTCAGGCCATGACTGTCAATGAGAAACAAGATTGATGCCATTATTGAAGATATGATATGATATCATATCTAGGGAAACAAATCTTCTTGTCAGTTGTTCATTAATTTCCATTCAGGTGTTTCTCTGTTTTCTTCAGTTCAGCTAGTACTTATTAAAAGCTTGTTACTCAAAAGAAATAACCTAATATGGCAGAATTGTGCATCAGGAAACCCGTGCTTTAAATCTTGACTGTACTACTACAAGCTGTATGATATTAGACACTTTATAATAGTGACAATTGCCAACTACTGAGCGTCTACTCTCTGCTCACTGTGCTAGACCCTTTACAGGTGCTATTTCCTTTAGTTCTCACAAAGCCCATCATGATAAATGCTATTAGCTTCATTATACAGATAACTCAAATGCGACTTGAAAAGGTTAAGTAATTTGCCACAGGTCACATAGCTGGTATAGTAAGTGAGATTCCAAAGTCCTTGCTTTTTTTCCAAAGAGCAAGAGCTTTCCAAAGTGCTTTTTTGCAAAGAGTCCTGGGGGAATTCTTTGCTCAAATTTTTCCAACCATAAATTTAGGGAATTTAGTTACGTGACCTGCAGGAGTGATAGTAAATAAATAACTTTTTTGTTGATTTTTTTGTAATGGATTTTTTTTTTTTTTTTTTTTTTTGAGACATGATCTCACTCTGTCACTCAGGCTAGAGTACAGTGGCATGATCATGGCTATTTTTTGTAGCAACAGAGTTTTGCTATGTTGTCCAGGCTGGTCTCAAACTCCTGAGCTCAAGCCATCTGCCCACCTCGGTTTCCCAAAGTGCTGGGATTATAGGCATGAGTCACCACAGTAGGCCTATAATGGAAAATTTTTATCATACACAAGAATAGAGAGACTAATTCAGTAACCAATCCCACAGCAACAAAGATCATCACTTCATAACCACTCTTATTTCATCTACACCCATTCACTTTTCTCTTTACCTCAACACCCAATGGATTCTTGTGAAGCTGCCCAGCTATATTATTTGATCTGTAAATATTTTAGTATTTATCATGAAAGGGAAAGACTTTTTAAAAACATAATCCTGATCCTTTTGTAGTTCATAAGCGTGATGATTGGGTGTTCACATGCATCCGTGAGATGTGCCACCCTTGAACCTTGTTATGTCATCAGCACATTACCCGTCTGACATGAAAAATAATAATAATACCAATACCATTAGCATACCTGAAACATTAACAAGTATTCCTTAATATCATAAAATGACCAATGTTTGTGTTTCTTTCATTTTCTCCTTTTAAAAAAATAGTTTAATATATTTTAATAGCAAACTTACAGGAATAGCACAGAAGACAGACATTAAAAACCTGTACTTGCATGTAGGACAACTCAGAAAAGTACAGTGAATGCACAGAATCGACTGTATTATCAAATGCTACTAACATTATTTAGTTGCCATGAATAAGAAATTTGCTTGTTTTTAAAAAGTCCAAATGCTGGCATTGTCCAGAAAATTTTAACAGGTTTATTTATATTGTTATAAAGTTGAACTGCTGGCCAGGTGCAGTGGCTCATACCTGTAATCCCAGCATTTTGGGAGAGTGAGGCAGGCAGATTGCCTGAGGTCAGTAGTTCGTGACCAGCCTGGCCAACATGGTGAAACTCTGTTTCTACTAAAAAATATGAAAATTAGTCGGGCATGGTGGTGGGTGCCTGTAATCCCAGCTACTTGGGAGGCTGAGGCAGGAGAATCGCTTGAACCCAGGAGGTGGAGGTTGCAGTGAGCCGAGATCGCGCCGTTGCACTCCAGCCTGGGTAACGAGAAACTCCGTCTCAAAAAAAAAAAAAAAAGTTGAACTGCTGAAACTTGTTCACTGAAACATTTTGACTTGCATTAATGCTTTGTGTCCTTGCATTTTTTAAATTTGTTATTGATACACAATAGTGCATATTTTTATTGTACATGTGAAAATTTGACACATTCATATAATCAAACCTGTGTCCCTGCATTTATATTAAAAATTCATACACAAATGAATATGGAGAAATTGCCAGTACCTGATTTCTGTCTTCTGTTTTTCCACTTGTTGTCATTGTATGTAGGTACCATTTGACCTCATGGGGAAAAAAATCTAACATTCACAACTACCAGTGTCAGGAGGAAGAGAGAGAGAGAAGAATGAAATGTTTTCCATCACAGTGAATTCTTTTTTTTTTTTTTTGAGACGGAGTCTCACTCTGTCGCCCAGGCTGGAGTGCAGTGGCCAGATCTCAGCTCACTGCAAGCTCCGCCTCCTGGGTTTACGCCATTCTCCTAAGCATGTTCTTCACGTACGTTGTGTGCTAGCTGGATGTCTTTTGCCATAATTGTTACACATGTGGCATGGAGGACACATAGGTTGTTGTCTTCAAAAAGGCCAGCCAAACAGTCCTCCCTTGCCTCCACAAAGCACCAATGGCTGTGCTCTGGAAGCACAGATCTGTTTTGAAGTCCTGAGAAATTTCTTGCACCAGATGCTGGAAGGGAAGTTAGCAAATCAGGAGTTGATAGACTTCTGATAATATTTAATTTTATAGAGTACCACAGTAGCAGTGCAGCAGTATCTCAGTGACGAAGTTTCTTCAGCACTCCAGTAGAGGTTGAACTCTTGCAGGTGACTTTTGTATCCAGTAACTTCCTGAATGCTTTACCACTGATAGCTTTGTGGGCCATAGTATGGAAATCTTTCTTACCTCCTTCTCTTTCCACTGGAGCTCAGTGAGCTAGAGGCAGCTTGTAATCTCTCTCTCTGTCTGACAATTTGGTCATTAAAGATTTATTTGCAGTTGTTTTTTTTGTGTGTGTATCCCAAGGTAGTATGTTCCGCTAGGAGTATACAGTCAAATTACTGGGTTCTAATATCACTGATAATCAAAATATTAAAACAGTTGAAACCAATCAGAATGGACAGCCCCCTGCTATGATCTAACCCTTTAGTTATTGGCCCATAAGGATGAGGGGTGGGAAAGGGTGATATCTCAGGGCAGCAGTAGTTCACCAACCTATATGTTGTTTAACAACCCAACATTGTTTCAGTGTTTTGTTTTGTTTTGTTTTGTAACGGTGTCTCTGCTCTGTCACCCAGGCTGGAGTGCAGTGTGAACATAGTTCACTGCAGCCTCAACTTCCTGGGCTCCACCTCAGCCTCCCAGTAGCTGGGACTACAGGCATGCACCACCACGCCTGGCTAATTTTTCGTAGTTCACCCCGTTGCCCAGACTGATCCTGAACTCCTGGCCTCAAGTGATCTTCCTGCCTTGGCCCCCGAAAGTGCTGGGATTATAGGCATGAGTCACCACACCCGGCCTGTTTCAAACACTGGGAATACCATGCTCTGCATACTGACTTGTTACAAACCCTGGTGTCTTTTAAGTTCCTTTCTAGCTCCAACAGAAATGTAAATAGTCACTTAATGGAGATACCCTTTTCCTGCTTCCTTACACTAGTAGTCTTTATATACATAAACACACACACACATAAACTTTACAATAACACAAATGATTATTTCCTGTAATTCTGGAAGTTCTGGCAAGTAAAATAAACAACAAAATAGAAATATGAGTTACGACTATTAGGAGATGAAATTATTAGTATTTAGAACAAATATAATTAGATACCTAAAACAAAACTAACAAAAAATAAGAATAAGCAAATTATGAGTACAAACTTGTAGGCCAAACAAGTCTAAAAATCTATTGTGGTGGGGCCAGCTACAGTGCTAGCAGACCTGGATCAGTTAGTAATTATAAATGAAGTTAAATATAATTAAATATATAATTTAAATGTAATTAATTATATAACTTTCAGCTCTTCTGATTTAATTCCACTAAAATTCTTAAGAATTACTTGCTCCGGCAGATATCTGTGCGATTGCCTTCACTAATAGCACTCTTTCCTAAGGAGTATATCCTCATCTCCCACCACCATCCACATGGCTACAGCCAGAACTTTTCTGTGTTTACATGATCCTACTTTCCTGGCCACACTTGATAAATCAGGGATAGGTGCACCTGATCTAAGCCAGTACAATAAGAGGCCTTCCTCTGGATTTTTCAAACTGGAATGAAGAAAGAGAGACAGCCACATGGTTCTTAAAGGACACTGACCCAAATAGCTGTTGGTAACCATGTTTTCTGCTTTCAGATTCTGTCAGCAGTGAGAGCAGATGAAGCTGATATGCAGAGAAGTGCCAAGCCAGTTGTCAAAGGGAAATTTGATGGCAGTGGGGTTTCTGAGGTAGAACTATAGTTCTGCTCATCAATTTGTTTGGCTTTATAACCCTTCTTTGGAACCCATAAGCCAATAATTTCTCATTTTTATCAAAGAAATTCAAATTAGGTTTCTATCACTTGCTATCAAAAGAATTACCACTTCATTGACAAAAGGAAATGCATAGAATAAATTTTCTACAAGTAATAGATTTATATTTGAGGCATGTTCATTTTACTGTATACAAATCTTTTCAAGTCCCTCACTATTACCAACTTTTAAAAATTTGGAATGTTCATGGATTTTTGATTATGTGATTAAAAAAAAAAACTTGGATGTTCAGGGTCTAGGGTGTGGTAAGAGAGGTGGGAGTTAAGTTCGGAAAGGTAAATTGAGATTACAATATATAGGGCCTTAAATGTCATGTGAAGTTTAGACTTTATCCTGCAGGTAATGGGGATCCATTTGGCAAATTTTCAAGCAGGGGAAGGATAGGTTTAGATAAATAATTCTGCTGGCAATTTGGAGCCTCAATAAAATGGGAGGAAAATGAAAACAGCTTAATAGGTGCTTGTGCTGGAAACCTAATTACATAAAGAGTATTCCAGGTGTCCAAGGCAGGGCTGATGAGAGAATCACCTAGGAAAGTTACGCTGAAAATTGTTGGGAAATGGAAGGATTCAAGAGACATTTGAAAGGTAGAATTGGTACTACTGAATGACCACTTGGACACAGGGGATGAAAATGAGGAAATATAGGACTATGATTAGATGGGGATGCCATCAACACAGGAAAAGGAGGAACAGATTTGAGAAGACACTATTCTGAGTATCACCACTCACTTTTATGATACTTCTAGCAGGTATGGAGCTAAAATGTATGATGTCCCATTGTAGCACTCACATTATATCTTGGCAGGTTGTTTGTACTTTATTGGATTTGCTGCATAATGTAGGATGCCAAAGTAATCGTTACATTCTGGAAGTTAGGAGTCCTACTTGGTCTCTGATGAGGAAGGCATTAACTGTGATTTCTGTCACATGCTGGTATATACTGGTCTGGGAGAAATCTTTGATTTAATGAATAGAATTAAACATAATTATAGCCACCTTAAAATTCTGTATATCGCATATAGAGAATACCATTAACTCATTGTCTACTCTGCCTTCCTCTACTTTCATGATTAAGGGCAGAGGAATTAAAATTTTATAGTGAAATAAAATTGGATAGATATGATAAAGTAATGTGAGGCTCACAATTTCAAAGTAAATATTTCTGTGTTCAAAGCAATTCACCAGAGGGCCACTTTCCCTGTACCTTCCCTGAAGAACTAAAAGCTCTAGTCCACCTGATTTTTAAAGCAAAATTATCAAATGCCAGCAATGTAACTTGTTCTGTGTTAAAAACAAAACTAGACATAGTCCTTATCCTTGAGGACTAGCTCACTATCATTCCAATATTTTTTGGAAAGTGTGAAATTGCGATTTGCCGATGGTGACTTTGCCAAAATTGAAAGCTTAGTAGCTCACATACACTTGTGTGAGTACCTAACATCTTTATAATTCTGACAACACTAATGAGCTACAGGAAACACTGGCCAAATTCTGCTTGGTTTGGTTTCCATTCTTTTGCTAAATCCCTTATATCAGCACTGACCAATAAAAATATAAAGCAAGCCACATTTGTGATTTTAAATTTTCTAATAGCCATATTTTTTTAAAGTAAAAAGAAACATGTAAAATACATTTTAATAGACTTTTAAAAAAACTTTATTTTTAGAGCAATTTTAGGTTCACAGCAAAATTAAGAGGAATGTACAGAGACTTCTCATATACCCCTTGCCCCCACACATGCATAGCCTACCCCATTATCAATATCCCCCACCAGAGTGGTACATGTTTTATAACTGATGAGCCTACACTGGAACACTCAAAGTCCACAGTTTACTTTAGGGTTCACTCTTGGCGTTGTGCATTCTATGAGTCTGGAGAACTTTATGACCTATGGTATCACACAGAGTAGTTTCACTGCCGTGAAAAATCCTCTGTGCTCCACCGGTTCATCCCTCCCTCCACCCTAATCCCAGGCAACCACTGATCTTTTTACTGTCTCCAGAGTTTTGCCTTCTCCAGAATTTCATATGGGTGGAATCACACAGTGTGTATACCCTTCTCAGATTGGCTTCTTTATGAAATTAATTTTAATACTGTATTTTCTTTAACCAAAATTGTTTAATGTGATTAACATGTAATCAATATTTAAATATTACTAATTAAATAGTTTACATTCTCTTTTCATACTGTCTTCTAAATATACACCAGATATATATCTGTATATCTATATCTATATACCAGATATATATCTGGTATCTAAATATATACCAGCTATATATCTATGTCTGGTGTACATTTACACCAAAATCTGGTAAATTTACACCAGATTTTGAAGACTTACAGCATATCTTAATTCAGACTAGCCAGATTTCAACTTGATCACCACATGTGACTAGTAACTACTGTATTAGACAGTGCAACCTTAGATACGAGTCACAACTGGAGACATCTTTCAAAGATTTAAGCTGCCTGTCCCTTAATTTAACAACGAATACAATGTCCATTACACTGTTTGCCACTTATAGATGGAAGGCCACTCCAAGTCTAAGGGAGAAAGGTAATATGATGGAAATTACAAATATGCATTATAATATTTAATCTTTTTTCCTTCAGGCATCTATCCTGCCATTCAGTTTTCCATGCTTTGAGGAATGGAAAATGGTGATACTTTTCTGTCATGATGAGTAATGGATTAGATAATAGGGAAGAGTGGAGTTGCCATTATATTGAATTTATTCTCAATTACAGAAGTCACGTACTATTTTGGAGAGAGCTCCAGTTTAAGAGGAGAATTTGAGCCTTTATTCTGGTAGACACTATATGGCCTGAGACAGATCAAGTCAATTTTTTGGATATTTTCTTATTCTCTAAAGTGAGATTGAACTAGTTCAGTAGCTTTTAAACCATACTCAGGGGAACGTAAGGGTTTATACGGGAAGAGTGAGAGTGAGGAAGGATTTAGGAGGAATTTTTCATGCACACACACACATACGCACATACACACACACACTGGCAGATTCAACCACTGCTGGATCAAGTTTATTGGATGTACATATTAATCTTCAGTGTAAGTTCCAGAGCTAATTAAAATTTTAAACATGATAGCTAGATAATTTGATCATATCTACTTTCCTTTTCAATGATAATATGAGGTATAATGTTCACATCTTCTGGCCCATTTCTAGAGGTCCTTTCATGTACTTCTTACTCAGACTTCCTTGTGACCAATCTTAACCCTTCCAAGTCACTGGTCAAGTTACCAAACTATTAGCCACTGCTAATTCCAGGCAAACTGAACAATGAGATACATATTATTTCAATTTCTGCCCATTTTGAGGATTACCCCTTTTTTTTCTTTTTATTTTTTGTTTTATAGATTGAGATGGGGTCTCGCTGTTTTGACCAGGCTGGTCTCAAACTCCTGGCCTCAAGCAGTCTTCTTATCTTAGCCTCCCAAAGTGCTGGGATTACAGGCATGAGCCACCGTGCCCGGCCAAGGCTCGTCCTTTCCCCTGGTCTTTCTGGGTCTTGGAGTGAGCTGTAAATGCTAAAGCAACCCACTTCAAACCAAGAAAAAAGGATCTGTAAACCAAGATTTTAATTTTTTCCTCTCAAACCAATTGGACATAGTGAATACCCCATGAGACACACGTAAGCTAGGGAGGGACAGCAGTGTGACAGACGTAAGCAGCAGGAGAATACAAGCAACGTGCTCACTAAACTCACTCATCCTCAGGACTATCCAGGCCTAGTGAGTTATGAGCCTGAATTAACACCTGGATCCTGATAGGCAATTATGACTGCAAAGTCACTTGGTGTCTCAGGCTTAGGTGTTCCACTGGGACCTAGTAGCAAGCCTCTAAAATCCAAAGAGGTCCACCAAAATAGTGCCTCTTCACATTGGTAAGGAGCTCAGGTACAACAGTTTATCTCTCACTTTAGAATTACAGCCAAACATATTCTGTAGACCACTGGACCCTTGAAAAATTCCCACTCAAGCTCTCACGTGTCTTTTTCAAGGTGTCCAAGGAATTTATTGCTTTCTACTCTTTTGTCCCCACCTGTATAGGATGAATAGTCTGATATCATGTGAGATGAGGAAATAAGAAGCTTTCTGCTGACTTCATTGTGACCCAGGGTCCAAAAGGTGATGTAATCCTGTGGCAAGAAGGTAAAGCTATATTCTTGTCTGTACCAGATGAAAGTGAACTGTTTCTGCTTCATCATTCACAACTGTCCTAATAAATGGCCACAAGTCCCTTTGTATTCCAGGAGGTAGATTCAAGTAGGCACTTCCTCAAGGGTACTCAGATTTCCTTTAACTGTGTCTGAGAACTGATTCATATCTGGAAATTGGATACTGTCTCTCTTTTCTAGACATGAAGGTTTTTTGTTTGTTTGCTTGTTTGCTATACAAATCAAGTAGGACCTTAGTGACTTCTTATTTATTTCAGTCCTGGGGACTCCATGATCAGTTAGTCACCTCCCATGAATCCATAAGTCAGAGCATTCTGATTTTCACACTGACCCTACTACCTTTCAACTTAGCCCCATGCAAATGTGCTATCTAGACTATGTCGCTCTGGGATCCTGCCATCCCTCTGAAACTCAGTAAGCCAAATTCAACTGTAACCTCTTTTCAGCATCATCACTGGTCTACATGAAACGTTCTCTAAATCACGTTTCAAATATGCTGACCCTTCCCTCATAGATTTGTTTCTCAAGGCCTTTGTAAAGAGTGTTTTCTGGACCTTTTTATCATTTTTATTTTAATTAGAGACAGGGTCTTGATAGGTTGCCCAGGCTGGCCTGACACTCCTGGGTGAAGTGATCCTCCCACTTCAGCCTCCCAAGTAGCTGGGACAGGTGTGAACCACTGCACTTGGCTAGATCTTTTTTTGGAAGACACAATTGAGGTGGGTGGTTGGGTCAGATATGACAAATCTAATCCAACATTCCTGTCTCCTAAAATTTAAAAATTTGTTCCTTTACATTTTACCTAAGAGATTTGCATCTCAACTTTATTTTGTATGACTCACCCCTCAGTCTAAATTTCGATGAACATTTAGCAGAGCAAACAGAATTATTCTACTAGCTTCTCAAACTAGAATAATCCAGAATCTCTTGTAAGCCCTATTAGTAAATTCAACCCAATCTCAAATTGTGTCCTCTTCTTCATTCAACATTCTTAAAATCTATTCTAACTCACATCCCACAGATTAATTAGCAAAGTTCTTCCATTCCTTTGTTGCTTGAGACATAGCTTACTAAGCTTCACTTTGTAAACTGGCCTCTTGAAGCACACTAGAATTTTCTGGGGGGTTGGGGTGGGGGACACAGTCTTGCTCTATCGCCCAGGCTGGAGTACAGTGGTGTGATCTTGGCTCACCACAACCTCCACCTCCTGGGTTCAAGCAATTATCCCTGCCTCAGCCTTGCGAGTAGCTGGGATTACAGGCACCCGCCATCATCCCTGGCTAATTTTTGTATTTTTTAGTAGAGACAGGGTTTCGCCATATTGACCAGGCTGGTCTCAAACTCCTGACCTCAGGTGATCCGCCCACCTCAGCCTCCCAAAGTGCTGGGATTACAGGTGTGAGCCACCGCACCCAGCAAATTTGACTCATTGCAGATCTGGAGATAGTGCAGAGTAACAGTAGGATATAAGAGAACCTCCTATAAGGTAACTCCCTCAAACTAGGGAATTTCAGCCTCTTCAAACAAAGGAGAAATAGCTTTATACGTAAAAGCTTCAGCTGCAAAGAAGGCTGAGTTTGGGGGCAAGGAGTCTCTGCATTCTTCAAATTCTCCCCTATATAGCATTTTAACTTTAAAGATCTTACTCTTTCGGAATCAGCACTTTAACACGTGCTCTTCTAAGACCCCAGGTAAGGAGGTGAATTTGACTGATTTGCAAATCAGCAATCGACAAGAACAAATGTTGGTTTATAGCTATCTCCATCCTGGGGCTATAAGTTTCTTTTAACAAATTCACACTTGGGTTTCAGTTCATGTTTTAAGATGAGAATTTAGAGATTTTCATTTGTTAATGTCTTCAAATGAAACAGCTAGCCTTAGCACCCAGCTCTTGAATTCCTCATTTCCTTCATACTGTTCTGTGAAAACAGCAATTCTGTCCCCCACGGTCTTGTCTTTAATACCCAACTCAATCCTAATCCTCACAGGCATTAATTTCATTAGCTATTTTACTACTACAGGCTGTGGGTTTCCAGAGTCTCATCTTTGAATATTAATTGGTTTTTATTATCTTCAAACACAATGAGTCTGCATACCCAGATTCTCCTGATTTCCCTGAAAGTCTGCTGTTTGTAACTGAATCCCCATTACCAGTTTCTGTACAAGTCAGAATTCCTATTTGCAAGCATTAGTAACCAATTTTAGGTAGATTAAGTATAACGGAATTTATTGAAAGAGTAACAGTATCTATATACAAAATTCTATGGGAAAGTTAAAAATCAGTCTCAGGAATCAGACAGGAGCCAAAGGAGGCTGGCAGCAGATGAACCAGCCAAGGACCACTGTAGGAACAGTCTGATTAGAATGCTGCCAGAACTTGGTGCAGAACTGTTATAGGAAGAGCCTAAATAGAAACTAAGGACAGTGCCACCACCAGACATTCTCTTCTCCTGAATTACTGAAATCATCACTGTCTTGGTGGATAGCTTGATGGTCTCTGCATCTTTGCATCACTCCTTCTGGATTCAGTGTGGGAATCCCACTGGACAAACCCGTTATGTGCTGATGTCCTTGCTGTCTAGAAGAGGAAGATATGCCTTTTTTCAGTTTCTATAACAGGAAAAGTGTTGAGATGCCAAATACCAAAGCACACAAACACCAGACAAACAAACACATCCAGGACACCATCCTTGGGTTTGTTTCTGGACTCGCTGTTTTATTAGTTTGTTTGTTTATTTTGCTGTCATTATGCTACTGTTTTAATTTCAGTTGTTTTATCTTTAAAAAAAATCTGGCAGTTCAAATCCTCCTTCCTCTCAAATGGTTGTCTTTCTTTCTTAACTCTTTTCAGTTTAATTTTTCTCAATGAATTTCAGAACTCTTCTGTAAAGTTTCAAAAAAATATTCCATTGGCATTTCCATTGGAATTGTATTATATTTATGAATATATTTGGGGAATAATTTTAAATTTTTTAAATGCCAAGTTTTCTTATCCAAGAACATGGTATATCTCTATTTAAGTCTTGGCAATTTTATAGTTGTCTTCACATAGATTTGACATACTTATTAAGTTTATGTTTTTGTTATTCTGGGAATTACAATTTTTTCCACTTTGTTTTCTTTAAAAGAGTTTCAAAGCCCCCCTTTTGGACCACAGAAAATCTTAACATCTTATAACGTAACTATGCAAATAGCTCTATGATTCTAATTTCTCTTTTATTTTATTTATTTATTTATTTATTTATTTATTTATTTATTTTTGACGGAGTCTCACTCTGTCGCCCAGGCTCCAGTGCAGTGGCGCGATCTCGGCTCACTGCAAGCTCTGCCTCCCAGGTTCACCCCATTCTCCTGCCTTAGCCTCCTGAGTAGGTGGGACTACAGGCGCCCGCCACCATGCCCGGCTAATTTTTTTGTATTTTTTAGTAGAGACGAGGTTTCACCATGTTAGCCAGGATGGTCTCGATCGCCTAGCCTCGTGATCCGCCCACCTCGGCCTCCCAAAGTGCCGGGATTACAAGTGTGAGCCACCACGCCTGGCCCTAATTTCTCTTTTAATCATTGAACTACATTCTTCCTATGTTTATCCAGCTTTCTGTTCCAAATTAAATCTCATACTTTGTAGTGTAAATTTGAGTTTGAAAGTTAAAGAATGTTTTCCAGGGGACTAAAACAGGAAAAAAACTGTCAACAGAATTGAATAAATTGGAAGATGGGAGGCCGCTGCACTAGTACTACAGTGCCCCCTAGTGGACACAAGGAAGCATGGGCATGTTTATACCAAGAATGACCCCGGTCTCTTTCTTCCACAGGCAATTAGAATCTGGAGGTGCCTCAGTGGTCAACTAGGTCGACACCTCTGGCTTCCAAAAAGGGAAACTTAGAAACAAAATGAAGAAATGACTGGCCCAAGTTCACAATGTCAACCCAAGGCTAAAATCCAAGATTCCTAACTCTCATTTTTCTTCCTTTTTGCTACCCTTGATTTCTTTTTTCTTCCTTCTTTTTCAAAATATATTGTGCTCTTATTATAAAGCAAGATTCTAGGAATACAGATATAAATAAGATTTAGTCGTTGCCTTCAAATCTAGTTTTACTTCAAGCCTAATTTTTTTAGCCATTTTCAGGGAATGAATTTGTTGGGAAATGACCAAACAACTATGCAGGGGAAGGTTCTCAATGATCCACAAATTGACTCACAATATGATTAATTAATTATGAGTTTTAACTGGAAAGTACAATCATAAATGTGAAAATTGCCCTTGATCAGATTCAGACCATTTCATAAGGAGGTAAGGCATACTTTCAAATGGCCTGTATTAACCTTTATCTTATTTCTCCTTTGCAGATTCAAAACTGTGAGCTATCTTGCAAAAAATACAAGAAGATATGGAAAGTTTTCATGAATGCCTACCACCTAATCCCAAACACTGTCATTCATATGCGCGTCATTGAGCAAATCTTTATTGAGGATCTATATGCCAGGTATGTGCTAAGCGCTGGGCTTAGTGTGGCAAAGAGAACAGATATGACCTTGAGGTTTCTGCTCTTACAAAGCTTGCAGTCTCCTATTTGTGTGTGTGTAATTCTCTAAAGCTCAGAAAAGCTGTTTACCTCATTTTGCTTTGGCATCATATTTTTAGGCTATAGAAATCAGAGAGTATGCAAACATTTTCTAAAATTACTCTGCCCCACAAAAAGGGAAACACAAATGACAATTTGGGGCCAGATAGAACTGGATTTGAATTCCAAGCCTGCACTTTACAAGCTATTAAACAAACGAATTCTCTGAGCCCCTGTTGCTTTCATGAAGTGGAAATAATACGTATCCCTTGTAAGGGATCATATCCTTATTAATACCTAAATAGAGACATTACTTTTTGAGTCAAAAATATGAATTCTATGGTCCATCTCCTAAAATGCAGAAAAATTATCAAAAGAGAAGCATTATTAATATTGTTCACTTAGTTTCATCAAGAATGTCACTTTCCAGCATTAATACAGACAGATATTCTTTGCCATTGACTTTTTCCTTTTTTAAAATAAGGTGAGATGCTCTAACAATGGATGCCACTACAACAGAGTTTCTGTAAGGCTGTTAGTTTCTTTTTCCATGGATAGTTTCCATGGCCTTGCTCCACATAAACTAAGCCCTATTATTTCAATTATGATGACTAAATCTAGTATGACCATTATTTGTCTGTATAAGGGAACTTGTAGTAATCTGTGTATAAACTTATCACTCCATCTATTTAATGATTTGACTAAGTCAAGGATCATATTTTATTTCCCTCTGTTCTCCCCTCCCAGTGGTACCTCACACAGAATTAGAGCACACTAAATGTGTGCTGAGTAAAAAGACTATCTTTCTATGTGCTTTTTGACATGTAAGCTGAGAGAGAAAATTTGGCATATGTTGTAGGTAAACTTACTTTGTTTTACCTGGGAGTAGCAAGTATCAAACAGATCCTACTCCTGTTACAATCCTGCTAGAGGAAAAAAAGTAGTTAAATTCCCCAATCTCTACTCAAACCAAAACAAAACTTCAAAAATATTGAGACACAGAGAGAAGGAATAGGATGGGGTCAGGGAGGACTGGTGTTTGTGCATGGTGTGCATGCAGCAGGCTAACGTCCTTTCCCTGTTGTAATAGCTCCGAATGTAAGTGCCACACAACACCAGGTCTATGAAAAGCCCAGGGTTTAAAGGTCAAACAAGTTTGGGAAAGCTTGCCCAGCATTTTCCTCTCTTGCAAGTTGGCGGTGCATACTGGTAAATTAAAGCCTATAAAAACTGCTTAACGTTGTTTTACCTTGCAGTCCCCAAATTCACTTGACCAACATTTCACCTATAAACATCCCGCAGATCTAGTAGATTCTGTGGAAGGCACAGACTTCAGGGAACTGCTCCACTGTGTTGAAAGGACTTCTTTCTCTTGTTCATTCACACACAAAAAGCTGCCATTTTATTTCCAAATCCTCCAGGTCTGGGAATGTGCGCATTTCCAGCAATGTTTTAACTATAGAAAAGTGAGACCACTTCCTGACAATTTAGCGGTCCCAGAAAGTTTATACAATTGAATTTTAGGTATGTAAGAATCAGTTCGAATCCAGGAAATGGCTTCCCAGCAATGCCTGGAATGTCCTCATAAAAACTGAGACACGGATATCCAAGTCCTGTTTTGGATCTTGGAGGGACAGAGAGAAAGAAGAGAAAAACATAAAATTATAGTCCCAAATCTCAAGATGTTTCTTCCAGTTTTCTACATATAAATATCCACTTTCTCTGAACTCCATCTTGGGGCTTCATTTTTGCATGTTTCTAATTCTCCTCTCTAGATGGCAGCACAGATGAAAAAATGCCAGAAATAGCAGGCCGGATTTAGCAGCAGCAAACTGCCATCAACAGCCCTCCCCCAACTTACCCTTCGTTTTGTTTTGTTTTTTTTTAAGAAACAGAATCTAAGACACGGTGGCTGACACTTTTTCCCAAATAGATTTAATCAGTTACATGAGAATACAAAGAATGACTAACGACACACTGATATTAGTGAACAAGGGAACTGACTCTTAACAGCGTCTCTTACATGTTACTTGTGTTTTCTGTATCTTAAAGATAATGTAGGCATTGTTCCTAAGTCATGCAGAAGGGTCGTGTAAGCATGGTCATTTGCATCATTACCCTGCACATCTGATACAGCCAAACTCCACACCACCTGGTTTGCTATAAGTGTTGGATTCATTTAAGATCCGTAACAATGCTATTTACTGACCTTCTTGTCAACTAATGCTGTGACGCTGCTGTAAAATGATCCCTATGTCACCAGATGCTGCCCTGAAACTTAGGAAGTCAGCATGAAGGTAACACTTCATTAGAAGTATGCAATTTATGGGAGAATTAATAATGCAAGAGAAAAGGAGTGGAACAGACATAAAGAGAAGACCTTTGAGGTTTACATCAAACCCCATCAAAAGATCTTTTTTAAAAAAAAAAACCTTACCCTTCAGGAGTTCATTGAATCTCATCATTAATAAGATGGGGTCTACCAGCAAGATGTTCTTAACAAAATCTGCTGACAGGGAAAACACAAGAAAGCTGGCCTCTTATGTATGACATTTCAAGGGCTCAAGAGTGTTCTAAAGAAAACTAAATTGTTCATGTGTAGTGAACTGGACAGAAGCTAAAAGGTGACCTGTGTCTTTTAAGCAGCAACAGCAAAAGATCGCCATGGGACTGGGTGCGGTGGCTCACCCCTTTAATCCCAGCACTTTGGAAGGCCGAGGTGGGCGGATCATTTGAGGTGAGGAGTTCAAGACCAGCTTAGCCAACATGGTGAAACCCTGTCTCTACTAAAAATACAAAAAATTAGCGAGACGTGGTGGTGTGCTCCTGTAATCCTAGCTACTCGGGGAGGCTGAGGCACAAGAATCACTTGAACCCTGGAGGCCGAGGTTGCAGTGAGCCAAGATGGCACCACTGCACTTCAGGAAAAAAAAAAAAAAAGAAAGAAAGAAATCACCATGGGAATAAAAACAAATATAGTACATAAATAAACCAACCCGAGGCCAAAACAAAAAACTAGGTGAATCTTTCGTATTTAAGAAAAAAATCAATATTTGATGTGTCAGAGAACTTTTAAATTCTGTCTCTATCCTTTTTTTTTTTTTTTTTTTTTTTGAGATGGAATCTTGCTCTGTCACCCAGGCTGGAGTGCAATGGTGTGATCTTGGCTCACTGCAACCTCCACCTCCTGGGTTCAAGCAATTCTCCTGCCTCAGCCTCCTGAGAAGCTGGGATTACAGGCACGTACTACCACACCCGGCTAATTTTTGTATTTTTAGTAGAGACGGGGTTTCACCATGTTGGTCAGACTGGTCTCAAACTCCTGACCTCATGATCTGCCCGCCTTGGCTTCCCAAAGTGTTGAGATTACAGGCGTGAGCCACTGCACCTGGCTCCTTTCTTTTTTCTTTTTTTTTTTAATGAAAGCAGTTTTTCCACAAGATTACTCTAAACACCACATCTTTCCTTAAATGAATACCTTTGATAATTAGTGTGGGTTGAAATTAGTTAATACTATAATGGGTCAGGCTATCTGCCTTTGCCAACACAACTCCTAGTGCTCTAAGGATACTGAATACTTTTTCCTGGACTCTAAGTTTAGAGACAAAATCAAGCCGTAAAATGAACAGGCAGAGAGGTACTGAGACAGTATGGCATATGAGAGAGTGAAGGAGCTGGGACAGGCCTGCATTCATCTCAAAGACTATGCCAGTCCAGTGCTGCAGACCAGCAACCCTCAGCTCTGAACCTATCCCTGGAATCAATACTCAGCCCACTCCTTCCAGAGACTCAGGAGCCTTGGAAGTATGACACACCCAGGACAAAGCTGAAGGCTAAGAGACCTAAATGTTCTTCCATTCCCACTAATTCTGCATCTGTGCAGCCTACTAAACCCACCATCCCTCAGACCCTCAGTATCCTTAATGTGTATCCAAGAGGGGAGGTTCTTTCAATGAGTTATCCTCTTAATGAACTCTCATCCTCATACTAGACTCGGTTTCCCATTCCGCCCTGTGATATTGTGACAAGAAATAAATATTTAGGGCCGAGCACAGTGGCTCATTTCTGTAATTCCAGCACTTTGGGAGGCCAAGGCAGGTGGATCACAAGGTCAGGAGTTCAAGACCAGCCTGGCCAACGTGGCGAAACCCTGTCTCTACTAAAAATACAAAAATTAGCTGGGCGTGGTGCCAGGAGCCTGTAATCCCGGCTACTCCAGAGGCTGAGGTAGGAGAATCACTTGAACCCAGGGGCGGAGGTTGCAGTGAGCTGAGATTGCGCCACTGCATTCCAGCCTGGGTAACAGAGTGACTCAAAAAAAAAAAAAAGGAAAAGAAATATATATTTGGTCTCTTCCCCTGGTTCCTGGCACACAGCTGTTAAAACCCTTGGACTCCCCAGAGTGATAAGAGTGTCTTTGGTATGCTAATAAGACATTGGTGGCTGGGGAGCCCTAGATAGCTTCAAGAGGGGGGCTGGTCACCAGAAAGACCAAGGCATGATTAGAGGGATGGGACTTTCAGCCTTACCCTCCAACTTCTAGGGAGGGTAGAGGGGCTCAAAGTAGAGTTGATTACCAATGGCCAATGATGTAATTAATCATGCCTACCTAATAAAGCTTCTGTAAAAACCCGAAGGACAGAGTTCTGAGAGCTTCCAGGTTGCTGAACATGTAGAGGTACCTGGAGGGTGGAATGTCTATGAAGGGCAGGGAAGCTTCATGCCTCTCCCCCCATCCCTCGCCCTATGCATCTCTTCCATCTGGCTATTCATCTCTATCCTTTGTAACATCCTGTATTAGTCCCTTCTCGCTGCTGGGTGATTTATAATTTAAAAAAAAAAAAAAAAAAAAGGTTTAATCAGTTCACAGTT